AGGTGCAAAGGTGTGGAGACAAAGAATAACCTTGAGCTTCTAGAAAGGAATTTTTTATTTTGAAAACAACGCATTCTACTCCTTGCTATTCTCCCCCCCTCCTTAATGAGAGTGTGGCAGGCCAAAGATTCTTAAAGGAACCGTTGCAGGCCTGACAGGCGGCCTCTCTTCAAAAGGGAAACAGGTGAATTACCTTCCATATGTCTTGATCTTGAAGTTCAACCCTTCTACTCCCTGTCGCTCTTTTGTATTTAGACCTGAGTAAGTTCATGTCATCAACAGCATGTGCTACAGCATAGATTGCATTGTAGATACTGTAGCTGTGTCCGGTCACTTCAAATAAATGCGGAGGAAGGTTTTTCAGATCTTCCTTCCCGGTACACGCTTCACCACTTTCTCCTGGTGGATTGTTCTCTGAAAGTATACAATCAAAGGCTTGTTCCCAGAATTCTTTCACCAAACTATCTCGCTTGGTCTGGAATGGTTTGATGGCCCCAAGGAATTCACCGAACCGCGGCAATTCATTGGAGTGAATATCAAAGGAAATTGCACCATCGAACAACTGTAGATCTGAGGGACGATGAAAGCTTGTTAACATTAGATCCATCTGAGCACTCAGAATCCATATTTTGGGCACTCTTGCCCAAAGGGAATCATATTTAAGGAACATTAACAGAAGCATCAGTGTGGTGCTGTCCCCGTAGAATATGAATGTATTGATTTTGCTATAGAAATAATAATTGTTTACCTTGTACACGACAGAATTTTGAAACACAGTAAAAAATACTTGTTTGGGCATTCTCTCCACAAAGGCAGAGCAGATCCTGTTCTCCGACAGAAGTGGGTCTAGAGCTTGGAGGAAATTGTCTCCACTGTCATCGTCCATAATTAGAAGGCCAACCCAGGTCCATCCAAAGTGCTTCAACAAATGGATGATCCCTGTAATCTGAAGGTCTTCATTGGGAGCCATGCGGTAAAAGGAAGCAGTCATTTTTGTTTCATGCTTCTTCGGAGCAAAGGAGCCATAAGCGAGCTAAAATACAATGCACACTTGGTTCTTATTGGTTGGTATTTCTTAATCTGAGAAATGCATTTTTTTCAACAATACTCAGCTACATTTTTTCCAAGCTCTTTTCTTTCATGAGCTTCCATGTTCAATTGTAATATTATGATTGCTATATACTAAATATATGTATGTGTATGTATCAGTGGTGGGTTTCAATTTTTTTAGATCGTCTTCTGTAGGTGTGGCCTGCTTTGTGGAAGTGGCTTGCTGCCCATGTGACCAGGTGGGAGTAGCTTGCCATCCATGTGACCAGGTGG